TTTCCAAAATTAAAGAAGCTTTTCCTCCGGGAATTTCAGGACGATTGTAAAGGCTCGTATTCGCGGTGTGCATTCAGCGGCGATTTGTTTTTATATCGTTCATTTAGCGTTAAATGCAAATGTTCTGATCCAATATTAATATAATATTTGGTACAATCAATTACGCATTTAGCGCTAGATGCACCGCTAGATCGTGTTATAAATGTTCGACGACTCTCGAAGGTTCAAGGATAAATCGAAGGTTCGAATTAATGAACTCGTACTTAACTGATTTATTATACCTTCGATTATTTATGAGTATAACATCGTAAGTCGTTGTAATTATCTTTAAGACTCTCTGTCTCTCTTCCTAAAACAGGGTTAACGAAAGGGAACTGTGAAACTGCCTTTAACGTTACGTAGAGATTTGTGTGATGTGTAAGCTCCTTGAGCTAAAGATAGATGAATTAAAAAATTTCAATTATGAAAATAATTTTTTTTTTTTAAGTGCAATTGATCTTTCAAATAAGAAATTTATTTAATAATTCTCGAATTTTTATTCTAATCAAAGAAAGTTATGTTTAAGTCAAGAAATTCGAATATAATTTTTTAAAACGAAATTGATTCATATTCTGAGAGAAACTTAAATAAAATAAAAATGTAAATACATATTTAACAAAGATAAAATTTAGAAAACCGAAGCGCCGAATTTCCGTAGGAAGAGTAAGTTTATCGAAGTCGTAAATTTAATAAAATCATATTTCTGTGAGAATTCTTTTTTAATTCAACTATCCTTCGTAGGATCAATATATGTGTCTTAAATTAATATAAATTTTGAGATATGCGTAGTTATATAAGATTTCGATATTCCTGAAATACTAAATTTAGTGTCGTTACGATAATTGTATGTCGTGCGCATTTACGGACCAATAGAGAATCGAGGATTTTATTACGATAACCCATTGCGTTTTCTACCCCGATAGAGCCTCCAAGTTATTTTACGTATGTTAGTTCACTTAGCATTTAATGTTATGAAATGTAATGTTAAAAACTTAGAGAAACAGACATTTATTTATATGTCGCTCGTCGGTGTACATGATAATAAAAGTTTTATACGTTTACTCGTATATTTCGCATAATTTATTTATTGTAAAAATATAAATGCCTATATAAGAAGTTATAAACGTAAATCAGATACTTATCGAGAGAAATCATATCAGTCTTGCAAGTGAAAGAAACTTAAATCGATATATTGAATAGTGATAAAATTCATCTAAAAAAATAAAAAATACAAATCATCATAATATAAAAAGATATATAATCATATATATAATTAATCAAACAATTTCATTTTATATAATTTTATACTTTTTATTTTATTTTTAAGAGCATTTAAAAAAAATATTTTGCAATGTTTTTTTAAACTATATATCGTAAGCTTTTAAATATATTTTTTATGAGCTATGCGTTATTTATTTAGATGTGTCCATTTTAAAGTAATTAATTATAATCTATATTAAAACATAATAATTACTGATATCAAAATGTAACTTTTATTATAATATAACTTTTGATATATGTATGTTTCTGTAGTATATGTAAATCTTTATGTATGTCTTTATCATTAATATTGTTAATACAATTAATCGGAGCAATGGAGCTTATTGATCTATGAAAAGAATTTTGTGTTGATAATGTTTCATTAATATCAATCATATCTGACTAGAAAATATTTTAAGGCCACACTTAGAAATATATATGCAATTCTCGATTAAAGATCCTTGTTCGAAATGAACCTGTTGCCTTCTGAATTCTTGCCAGAATATCGATATTTACATTTACCATATATACCTGGAAAAAAATGTATTACTAGTATTATATTTACTATATATTTATTTATTATATTTGTTTATATAATGAACAATTTTAAGAAGTAAAAGTCAATATCAAAAATGTTTTAAAATAATTTCCAATTATACAATTTATTTTATTATTTAATTTGATTGCTATACGTACCTTTGTGATCCTGAGGATTACGCATCGTACTCGGCAAGGGTGTGTAATGGATGTTGAAGTATATGTCATCAAATTCATTATTTTTGGTTTGGGTTGATCTGGGTACGTACTTGCGAATCAATTCAGGGACGAGCTTGATCGTCTTGGAATATCTGCCGCGAGTGTTAGCATTTGATTTCTCCTGCTGAGTGACTCTTCGGGAGTCTAGAAAGCGAAGACTCGGAGGTAAAATGTGGATAGCGTATAGCCTGTAACGCTCGTAATCATCTTCATCGGTAGACGTCGGATTGGTCAATTGATCAGGGCAACCGGGATTGCCAAGAAGACTCACGTACTCCACGTTGGGACAACATTCTCGTATTTTATCAAGAGCTTTATCGATATTGAATATCTAGAAACGAAGTTTATTATTTCACTTCTATATAAAAAAATTCTAAGAGTCCCTAATAATAAATAGCGTGTTAAAGAAATTAATAAAAGAATTAGAAATAACTTAAAAACTAAATATTGTTAGTAATTTTTTGTATGAAGTTTCATAAATCTTTTTTGAAACATAATCTTCATAAGAATTTCATTACTTTTTTAAATATTTTCTTAAGTAGAGCACCTTATTATTGTTAAGACTCAAAGTGGTCAAAGTCGGCATATGAGGTAGCGTTTTGAGATTGTCGAGTTTGTTATTGTCCAAGATTAATTCCTGAAGCTGCTCAAAATCCTTTATACCAGAAATAGTTGACAATTCGTTATAAGAAAGATCTAAACCGAGACAATCGTGACCAACGACTCTCATCAAACCATTAGGAATCTTTTCTGCTCTTTGCCCCGTATACCATGCCTAAGTTGTCGATTATAAATACGAAAGTAAGAAAAATATATTATTAAAAATAGTAATACGAATGTGTGCGTATAAAGAAAATGAAGAATATGGAAAAAATTGCAATTACTTTCAAAAATCTGCATTTTATAAGATAAATTATCAAATAGATTTATTTACAAAATAAATAACATTTTTTAAAATTATTTTCTTCAAATTATTTTCATCAAATTTCAGTCGCTTAAAAATTTAATTGCAAAAAATTACAAATTCTTATTATTTTTAATTTAATAAATAAATTTAAATTTAAAAGAATTTTATATAATTCTGATTTATAATCCCGTATAAAAATATACTACTAGTGCAATAAATAAATTTTAACACGTAGTGTCACTAGTAGTGTAATAGTAGCAAAAATTTAATAGTAGAAAATTTTATTAAAATTTTACTAAAATTTTATTGTAAAAATAAGTATTATTGATTAGCATCATATTTCAGGGGATACACGACAAAATTGTAATTGAAAAAAAACAAAGTTTCCTTTATGAATTCGAGAACTAATTTTATGATGCTCTCATCACCCTCTCGAATCTGTACCTTCACTTAGCATGCTTGACTTCTGCATCGTACGAGAACTCCTTTGAAGAACCATGAACATCTACGATGCTAATGGACGTATAGTTGTAACATATCTGGTCAAAGATGAAAGAGACGGAATACGTATAAAAAAATAATTAATGTTAAATATAATTATAATGTAGTACAAATGAAGAATATCTATGATAATAACTTGATTTTAATAATACTGTAAAATATTATTTCTACTAGCTGAAATAATACTAATTGCTCTAGTGATATATGTGTATTTTTTATTCTAGTAAATTTTTTATTACCAAATATTATCATTACTAAAAATAGTTCTATATTATATGTCATATGTCGTCATATACTACTACAGTAATAACACTACTGGCTCAGCAGTGATACTATAACGTATCAGTGATACTATTGATACCAACAGTGACATCATTAAATATCACTTAGTAGCAGTAACACTACTAGTATCTTTTTATACGGGACTTAACTTACATAAAGATATTTAATATTAAAAATTAAAATGCTGTCATCAGTGATCTCTTCTCATTAAATATTTGTTTAAGGAAAATCAACTTTAGAAATCAAGACATTTACATTTACAAAAAAAAATGTACGATTTTTGATACGCTTTTTATAGCACGCAAGTGATTCACATACATTAACTGCATAAAAAAAGAAATATAATTGCTACAAATTATTTCTATAAATATAGGATTTATTCTTTCTGATTGTACTTTCTACATTTTCTTCACGTTTCTCTTTTTTTGCATATTTTTTGACTGCGTATTATATATCGAACTCCATTTATTATAATAACGAAAAGTGTAAAAGAGTACAGCCAAAAAACGTAGATTGGTAGCGTTAACAATCAAAGTGTATCATGACGTGCGCATCGATAAAATGTTATTGTGTGCAATTAAAATTGTAAAACAATTACGTTTACCCGTCCGTTATCGAGTGTCAACGCACTCCTATTGAAGTCTTGCTGACTGTAGCCCGCCATGTTGAACATATGCCACGCACCGAGAATTATCGCGCAGTTAATAACATAGATAACGCCTTGTGCGTGTGTGCGTGTGTTTATTGTGTTAGTCATGCATAATTATCGTACATTAAAGTTTGATATCTTATATTTACATCGTTACGAGCATACGGCTCGTTGGTCTAGGGGTATGATTCTCGCTTAGGGTGCGAGAGGTCCCGGGTTCAAATCCCGGACGAGCCCTTATTTTTATTTTTTTTTT